GATGTCTCGTTCACTGCGTTGCACACTTTTGGACAAAATTATAATACCCTCTGCAAGGGTATAAAAATAAAAATGTAAAAGTGTTATGTATTATTTATTTGATTTCAAATATTTTTCTCATTTTGCATTAAAGTCCAGGTTTTAATAAAAATAAAATTTAAACAAGAAAGGAAAGCTAACTTCGGGCGGAGCCGAAGTTGATATACCCTTGCAGTTAAAACCGGAATATAGAATAGAATCTGTACCAAAATCCAGCTTTCTATCTTCAAAAACACGAAAGTTGGGTCATTTCCGATCGTTCAGTTATATGGCAGCTATAAGATATAGTCGGCCGATCCTTATGAAATTTGGCATGTCGTAATGTTTTGCCAAAAATAGCACTCATGTCAAATTTGAACTCTCTAACTCTAAAAACACCAAAGTTATACCATTTCCGATCAATCAGTTATATGGCAGCTATAGGATATAGTCGGCCGATCCCGGTCGTTCCGACTTATATACTGCGTGCAAAGGAAAGAAGGGTGTGTGCAAAGTTTCAAGACGATAGCTTTAAAACTGAGAGACTAGTTCACGTAGAAACAGACAGACAGACAGACGGACATGCTCATATCAACTCAGGAGGTGATCCTGATCAAGAATATATATACTTTATAGGGTCGGAGATGTGTCCTTCACTGCGTTGCACACTTTTGGACAAAATTATAATACCCTCTGCAAGGGTATAAAAACAAAAATAGAAAAAAAACAAGAAAGGAAAGCTAACTTCGGGCGGAGCCGAAGTTTATATACCCTTGCAGTTAAAACCGGATATATATCGCAAACATCGGATATAGTTGACCGATCCTTATGAATACATCATAATAAAACCAATTAACTAAAATGAAAAATCCAAAAAAGGTCCCAAACTCCTATCTTCAAAAATAAGAAAGTTGATGTTTCTACCAAGTACCATTTCCGATCGTTCAGTTATATGGCAGCTATAGGATATAATCGGCCGATCCTAATGAAATTTGGTAGGTTGGATCAACTGGCCAGAAATATAATCTGTATTAAGTTCCAGCTTTCTATCTTCAAAAACACGAAAGTTGGGTCATTTCCGATCGTTCAGTTATATGGCAGCTATAGGATATAGTCGGCCGATCCTTATGAAATTTGGCATGTCGTATTATTTTGAAAAACTCTCATGTCAATTTGAACTCTCTATCTCTAAACTCTCTCAATTTGAACTCTCTATCTCTAAAAACACCAAAGTTATACCATTTCCGATCAATCAGTTATATGGCAGCTATAGGATATAGTCGGCCGATCCCGGCCGTTCCGACTTATATACTGCGTGCAAAGGAAAGAAGGGTGTGTGCAAAGTTTCAAGACGATAGCTTTAAAACTGAGAGACTAGTTCGCGTAGAAACGGACAGACAGACGGACAGACGGACCGACGGACCGACGGACAGACGGACATGCTCATATCAACTCAGGAGGTGATCCTAATCAAGAAAATATATACTTTATAGGGTCGGAGATGTCTCCTTCACTGCGTTGCACACTTTTGGACAAAATTATAATACCCTCTGCAAGGGTATAACAAGAAAGAAAAGCTAACTTCGGGCGGAGCCGAAGTTGATATACCCTTGCAGTTAAAACCGGATATATATCGCAAACATCGGATATAGTTGGCCGATCCTTATGATTACATCATAATAAAACCAATTTATTACAATAAAAAATCTAAAAAAAAGTTCCAAGCTTCTATCTTCAAAAATACGAAAGTTGATATTTCTACCAAGAACCATTTACGATCGTTCAGTTATATGGCAGCTATAGGATATAGTCGGCCGATCCTAATGAAATTTGGTAGGTTGGATCAACCAAAAATAGAATCTGTATTAAGTTTCAGCTTTCTATCTTCAAAAACACGAAAGTTGGGTCATTTCCGATCGTTCAGTTATATGGCAGCTATAAGATGATGTCGTAATGGTTTGCCAAAAATAGCTCTCGTGTCAAATTTAAACTCTCTTACTCTAAAAACACCAAAGTTATACCTTTTCCGATCAATCAGTTATATGGCAGCTATAGGATATAGTCGGCCGATCGTAACGAAAGATGGTAGGTCGGATTAACTGACCAGATATATAATCTGAACTAAGTTCCAGCTTTCTATCTTTAAAAACACGAATGTTGGGTCATTTCCGATCGTTCAGTTATATGGCAGCTTTAAAATATAGTCGACCAATCGAGTCCGTCTCGGGTGTGTGCAAAGTTTGAAGTCATTAGCTTAAAAAAGAATAGTATGCTTAGAAACGAACATACAGAGGGATAGTCGGACATGCATTGTATGCGATTTTTAGTTCCTTTTTTTCTTGGAAGCACGTGTTGGCGACGGAAGTGTTTGTACTCTATGCTACATATGTACACGCTATAGTCGGACATGCATTGTATGCGATTTTTAGTTCCTTTTTTTCTTGGAAGCACGTGTTGGCGACGGAAGTGTTTGTACTCTATGCTACATACATATGTACACGCTATGTGTACATAGTTCATACATATATATATTTATTATGAAATACATACATACATATGTATGTGCATATCTTTAATTCGCTATAAGCATATGTATGTTGGTTTGTACATATTGTGTTATAATGAAATCGACCAACACCAACACATATAAGCTTAAAAATATATATTTTTCACATTAATAACATTCATTATTAATATAATTTCTTTCAACCAATTTCTGGCATAGGAAAGTATTATATTTTTCTGTTCTGTTTGGTCTGTTTCATCACACAGTGCTCCAGTGTTGCCATTTTAGCTATTTGCTAGATCTAGCTATTTTAAAACTGCTATAAGATTTTGTGGAATGCTATTAGCTAGAAATCTGGCATTTTTTTAATGATTTGGCTAGATATACATAGGTAAATAGGTAGCGATACCGGAGCAGTCAATACATTCGCACCGTTAGCACACTTAGCACTCAAAATTATGAGATTTCCTTGGTCGAACGCAGTGGTAGAACGCGTATTTAGCCAAGTGCAGATGGTCCAAAAAAGTAAAATGAGAAATAGAATACATTTGAAAACTTTAAATCAGGGGTGCTCAAATTCGTCTTATGGCAGTGCGTTTACTAACACAGACACAAGAAAACGTGTACATATGTAGCGGCGCTTTAGTGTTGGGGCGCAACTGTGCACTGAGAGAAAAAAAAACAGTTTTGAATATTTATTTATTTTTTTTTTTTTTTATATTTGGCTTAAAAAAGATTCAATATTTATATTAATTTTAGTGGTTGATAATTTTAATTGAGCTTCCAGATTATTATTATTTAGTCCCACGAAATAAATCAAAAGCCAAAGCAGACAGAAGAATAAGTTCCAGTGCATGTGCTCGAGGAAAAAACAAAAACAAAATACACTGCGTTCAGCCACTAACCATACAGCATATGTATGTATGCTGTATGGTTAGTGGTTCAGCGAAGCGTGACGACGGATAGAGATGTAATGAAGAAACAAGCAAAATTGTTTTTGTTTCGCATGGTAATCGAAGCCCATATGCACGGTGCTTATGGGCGCACTAGACATAAGCACAGAGCATCTACAAAAACAAAAGTGCACTCAGTGTATAGGCGTTGAGCACCCCTGCTTTAAATGCTATTTTAGCCATAAGGTATGCTACATTAATAACTAAAATTCTAAAATTTATACTAATAAAATGAATGTTTATTTACAGATATTGATTCAAAAGAAGTGGGATGTGTTGCTTCAACTTCACATTACCAACAAAATATTTAAAAATGGTATCAGAATCTAATAAATATAAAGATTCGATCGAGGACGCCATTGACATTGACAAAAATTCTGCATTATTTAAATAAAAACAATTTAAAAATAACTCACAAATAGCAATTTTTTAGCACTTCTATATTTTTTTTTAGCTATTTCTAGCATATTTTTTTAATCAATTTATCTATTTGAGCCCATGAAATTCTGGCAACACTCAAAAGAAGTTAACGAACTTCTGTAGTTACATAGTAGTTGGTCGAGTTAACCACAAAACCGCGTTTGAAATATTTGTAACACCCTAAAAATCTTGATTATTGTTAAAAAAAAAACATTTTTTTAAACTTTTTTGCGCTCTAACTTTTTGCCTAAACCCGTCGTTTTAACCCGATTTTAAAATTTCCCATTTGTTTTACTAGTTTTGGGTTAAACCCATAGTTTTGGTGAGTACCTGATATAAAAATCAATTTGATTATTCTACAACTCAAATTACATAAAAAATGTGTGTAATGCGCTTTCAAATTCCTTAATAATTGCCCAAATAAAATTATCGAGCATGTTTTTTTTTAATATAATAGCTGACTTTAAAAAATTGGACTAACTGTGAGCTGATAGTTAATATTACTAGTACTCGTTAGGTGGAGCCATATGTTTTTAAGATGTTTACATAAAAAAAACAAATATTTACAGTTGTGTAGAATGACTTAATACCATGAAAATGGCCAATATTTCCCTTAGAGGACTGTTCTAAAATACATGAAAAGTTTTTTAGTTTTAAAGCATTTGTAATATAAATTCTAAAAAATTTCGTATAAAGACTCTACAATTTTGGGAAAAAACAAATATTTTGTCAAACGACATGTCGGAATAGAAAATAATTTGTGCAAACACGTGAATGATGGCTAATAATGGAAATAATACCATGATAAATCATCTTTTATATGTTTTTCAGATCAACGAGTTAATATGTACATGGAGCGAACTGATATAAATATATAGCTCGCATATAAATATACAGTTTCTTACGAAACATGTTATATGAGCTTAAGAATTCAATGTTCAAATGGTCCAGTTTCGAAAAAGTTTTTTAAATTTGATATTTAATAATATTGGGATGGTATAACAAAAAATAACAAGTTTCCAAATTAATGAAAAGTTTGCAAGTCTGGATGACAAAAAATAAATTTCAGGAAAATAAGTAAACCTTACGGACTACAATACTACATTGCCAACTTGTGAAGTATACCTGCTGTGTGTGGTAGAAAAATAAACTTGCTGTTTGGGTATGAATATCTGTAGGTATGTATGTATACAACCGATGTAGTAGCACCCTATAATCAAAACAAATGCATTTATGTATGTACATATGTACATATATCGCCACATTTTTTTTTTGCACACGACCCATGGAAATGGAAATTTGATCTCTTCAGCATAAATTCTCTTAATGGAAAAAAATTTACTGTACAAACGAAAATTCATGTATTGCATGTTTATTTTTAGTCGTTCATAGTCACCGGCTAAGAATTGAACTTTTACATATGTATGTACATTCAAGAACAAAAATGTCTCACATTTATTTTTCTTTCTTCTTTTTTTAAACATATGTATACGCATACATACATTCTATATATAAATATCCGTACAAATGTAGTTCAAAATAAAAAATATGCACCAAGAAAACGTATTAGCAAAGTAGGCTCTAATAATTTTTTACATCAAGAAATAACATCAAAAATAAATATATTTTTTAAATCGGTCACGTTTAAATCAAACTCAAAAACGTGAAAAATTACAAACTTATGTACAGGTTATTCAAAAATAAAAATAAAAAAATACATTGTAATATTTAAAAAAAAATGTTTTTTATAATTTTTTTTTATTATATTTATATATAAATGTAACTTTTTATGGAAAAAAAAAACAATCTATACGTTATATTAAGAATTCCGTATATTGAACAAATCATAAGTTTCATTACATACACATAATTGATAAACTTTTTCTTAAAATAGCTGAAATTTTTTTCCGATCAGGTATCTAAAGAAAGACAACTTATGGCAGTAATTTTTTTGTTCAATATGGACCTAATTTCATAAAGTTGTGATAGAATCAATGTATACTATATACTAAGCTCTTTTACATAATTATTTTAGCTGTAATAAAAATCACTTATATTCTTAAGTATTTATGGAGGTCTGCTGGGAATATTGTACATACAACTACTCCACAGGTAACACTTCGAGCGCAGCACGAAATTAAATTTCTACGAAAACCAAGCGAACTCGACGAGCTTTTATCTATTACTGGCTCATCGGAACATTTTTACTCTTGATCGAGAAAATTTGTGGCAACTAGTCGGTGTTTTCAAATGGGCATGCGCAATTGCCTTTGACAACACAAAAAAATATATTTTTGAGGTTGTAGAGGTGCTCTGTGTTTCCATTATTTTTTTTATATTTATATACATATACTAATTTTAAAAGTGTAACAAACTGTTTTTGTACCTTTGTAGGGTTTGTTAAATTTGTCCGGATGATTTCTATATTCATAATCAGGACGACGAGGAAAATATACTTAAAGCGACTTTCTGTTTCTTTTGTTTTATTTTCAAAAGTTGTGATATTGAAAAGAGACATGAATAACTTTGAATCAGATAATTTTTAAAATGTTCAGCAATGATAATTATCACTGTGGACAAAAGTTCACAAGGTGACAAACCGAATTTTCGTTTTTACATTTTTTTTTTTTTAAATACTACTGATAAGCCTAGTCAATTTTATTCGATATATGCGTTATGTATGCATGTACATCCCATCCGATATATGTCTGAATATACAATTTCATTTAACTGAAGGATTATATCCGACGTTGGCTCCGTCGGAAGTTAGGTTTCCTTTCTTGTTATACCCTTGCAGAGGGTATTATAATTTTGTCCAAAAGTGTGCAACGCAGTGAAGGAGACATCTTCGACCCTATAAAGTATATATATTCTTGATCAGGATCACCTCCTGAGTTGATATGAGCATGTCCGTCTGTCCGTCTGTCCGTCTGTCTGTCTGTTTCTACGCGAACTAGTCTCTCAGTTTTAAAGCTATCGTCTTGAAACTTTGCACACACTCTTCTTTCCTTTGCACGCAGTATATAAGTCGGAACGGCCGGGATCGGCCGACTATATCCTATAGCTGCCATATAACTGATTGATCGGAAATGATATAACTTTGGTGTTTTTAGAGTTAGAGAGTTCAAATTTGACATGAGTGCTATTTTTGGCAAAACATTACGACATGCCAAATTTCATAAGGATCGGCCGACTATATCTTATAGCTGCCATATAACTGAACGATCGGAAATGACCCAACTTTCGTGTTTTTGAAGATAGCTGCAAAGCTGGAACTTGGTACACATTCTATTTTTGGTCAGTTAATCCGATCTACCAAATTTCATAAAGATCGGTTGACTATATCTAATAGCTGACATATAACTGTACGATCGGAAATGGTTTTTGGTAGAAATATCAACTTTCGTATTTTTGAAGATAGAAGCTTGGGACTTTTTTTTAGATTTTTTATTGTAATTAATTGGTTTTATTATGATGTAATCATAAGGATCGGCCAACTATATCCGATGTTTGCGATATATATCCGGTTTTAACTGCAAGGGTATATCAACTTCGGCTCCGCCCGAAGTTAGCTTTGCTTTCTTGTTTTTTTTTATATTCTTGTTTTAAATAAATTTGCTTAACCAAATTACATTTCAAGATTAACCATCTATGTATGTATATAGAAAAGAAGATGCAATCATATAAAAAATCTCATGACGAGGTAACATACCGATGATTGGATGATTGTACAAAACTACCAATTTTAAAAATATTCTTAATAAGGCCACATGTCGAGCAAGAATATTTTTTAAAGTGTAAATTTGTATACCTCTTAATAATTTGTTCGTCACCTAAATTAAACTCAGATATTTTTGGCGAGCCATGTTGGTTTGTCACCGGTATTTTACCTCAAAATAATTATTTTAATTTTTTTTTTTTATAAAAATTTTTTTTATTTAATTTTGTCCAAAAGTGTGCAACGCAGTGAAGGAGACATCTCCGACCCTATAAAGTATATATATTCTTGATCAGGATCACCTCCTGAGTTGATATGAGCATGTCCGTCTGTCCGTCGGTCCGTCTGTCCGTCTGTCTGTCTGTTTCTACGCGAACTAGTCTCCCAGTTTTAAAGCTATCGTCTTGAAACTTTGCACACACCCTTCTTTCCTTTGCACGCAGTATATAAGTCGGAACGGCCGGGATCGGCCGACTATATCCTATAGCTGCCATATAACTGATTGATCGGAAATGGTATAACTTTGGTGTTTTTAGAGTTAGAGAGTTCAAATTTGACATGAGAGTTACTTTTGGCAAAATAATACGACATGCCAAATTTCATAAGGATCGGCCGACTATATCCCATAGCTGCCATATAACTGAACGATCGGAAATAACCCAACTTTCGTGTTTTTGAAGATAGAAATCTTAAACTTCGTACAAATACTACTTTTGGTCAGATAATCAGACCTACCAAATTTCATAAGGATCGGCCGACTATATCCTATAGCTGCCATACAACTGACCGATCGGAATTGACCCAACTTTTGTGTTTTTGAATATAGAAAGCTGGAACTTGGTACAGATTATATTTTTGGTCAGTTAATCCGACCTACCAAATTTTATAACGACCGGCTTATCTTATAGCTGCCATATAATTGAACGATCGGAAATGGTTTTTGGTAGAAATACCAACTCTGGTATTTTGGAAATAGAAATTTGGGGTTTTTTTAGATTCTATATAATAATAACTTGAGTTATATTATCATATTCTCATAAGGATCGGCCAACTATATACGATGTTTGCGATATATATCCGGTTTTACCTGCAAGGGTATATTAACTTCGGCTCCGCCCGAAGTTAGCTTTCCTTTCTTGTTTATATGATAAAATATACAAATGTAGCTGCTATAGAAAATATTGAGAAAATGTGTTATTTTTTGAGATAATGGCACGAGATATAAAAAATATTTTTGCGTGGTGTGTTTTAAGATAAATTTTGGCCTGCTCAACAAACCACGAAGAAATTCGAAAGAAAACCTGAATTCGGGCGGAACCGTTGTAGATGTAAATTGCAGTTAAATGGCCATAAATAGTGTATGATATAAACGGTTTATGTATCCAGTCACAAATATCATATAAAGTAACAGACATGTGGGAGTCAGGAAAATTATTATGTTTGATAAAACAAGAAAAAAAATTGCCAAAAATAGATCTCGATAGCTTTAAAACTGAGACCCTAGTTTGCGTAGAAACAGACAGGAGGTGATCCTGATCAAGAATATATATACTTTATAGCAGTGGTCGGCACGGCCCTATCCCGAGGGCATGGTAAATTTCTCTGCCCGAGCTCTGCCACACACACACAGTATAAATGTGTGAAACGTCATGCTAACAGACTATAAAAATCTATACCTCCTGTAAAAATTGTCCGATTGAGCTGAATTTTAATTTGAGGGTAGGGATAGGCATTGGAATAGTTTGGCATCAAAACGTGTTCACAAAAACTTTTGTGGAATTGCTCTAAATCGGACCAATCCTATAGCTTTATCTCTTATAGTCTGTGGATCTATGCGTAAATAGTGCTAGGGCTGTTAGTGCTGATCAAAAATGTAAATACTTTATGGGGTCAGATGAGACTTTCTATATGTTAAAACACATTTACAATATACCGCTGTAAAGTGTACACTGTAAAGTGTAAAGTGTAAAGTGTAAGTAGCACTATTATGTTGATAACCTTTGCTCTTCGATTATCACTCCTTGTCAGCATGGCTTTATTAAGCGTCGCTCCACCACCACAAACTTATTGGAGTTGACATCCTTTGTCATAGATGGCTTTTGTAAGGGATATCAAACCGATGTAATTTACACAGACTTCAGCAAAGCATTTGATTCAGTTAATCACTCACTCTTGTTGAGTAAACTGAATATGCTGGGTTTTCCTAAAGACCTCTTAACGTGGATCTCCAGCTACCTAGATGGAAGGACACAAAGAGTTTTATATAAAAATATTCAGTCCCGTCTGGTCCGTGCTACATCCGGCGTCCCTCAAGGATGACGTCCCTCAAGGCCAAGATGACTGGCCCGTTATTATTTACGCTTTTTATAAACGACTTGCCCCCTGCTTTAACGAACTCTTTAGTTCTTGCAGATGATGTAAAGGCAAAACATTACGACATGCCAAATTTCATAAGGATCGGCCGACTATATCTTATAGCTGCCATATAACTGAACGATCGGAAATGACCCAACTTTCGTGTTTTTGAAGATAGCTGCAAAGCTGGAACTTGGTACACATTCTATTTTTGGTCAGTTAATCCGATCTACCAAATTTCATAAAGATCGGTTGACTATATCTAATAGCTGACATATAACTGTACGATCGGAAATGGTTTTTGGTAGAAATATCAACTTTCGTATTTTTGAAGATAGAAGCTTGGGACTTTTTTTAGATTTTTATTGTAATTAATTGGTTTTATTATGATGTAATCATAAGGATCGGCCAACTATATCCGATGTTTGCGATATATATCCGGTTTTAACTGCAAGGGTATATCAACTTCGGCTCCGCCCGAAGTTAGCTTTGCTTTCTTGTTTTTTTTTATATTCTTGTTTTAAATAAATTTGCTTAACCAAATTACATTTCAAGATTAACCATCTATGTATGTATATAGAAAAGAAGATGCAATCATATAAAAAATCTCATGACGAGGTAACATACCGATGATTGGATGATTGTACAAAACTACCAATTTTAAAAATATTCTTAATAAGGCCACATGTCGAGCAAGAATATTTTTTAAAGTGTAAATTTGTATACCTCTTAATAATTTGTTCGTCACCTAAATTAAACTCAGATATTTTTGGCGAGCCATGTTGGTTTGTCACCGGTATTTTACCTCAAAATAATTATTTTAATTTTTTTTTTTTATAAAAATTTTTTTTATTTAATTTTGTCCAAAAGTGTGCAACGCAGTGAAGGAGACATCTCCGACCCTATAAAGTATATATATTCTTGATCAGGATCACCTCCTGAGTTGATATGAGCATGTCCGTCTGTCCGTCGGTCCGTCTGTCCGTCTGTCTGTCTGTTTCTACGCGAACTAGTCTCCCAGTTTTAAAGCTATCGTCTTGAAACTTTGCACACACCCTTCTTTCCTTTGCACGCAGTATATAAGTCGGAACGGCCGGGATCGGCCGACTATATCCTATAGCTGCCATATAACTGATTGATCGGAAATGGTATAACTTTGGTGTTTTTAGAGTTAGAGAGTTCAAATTTGACATGAGAGTTACTTTTGGCAAAATAATACGACATGCCAAATTTCATAAGGATCGGCCGACTATATCCCATAGCTGCCATATAACTGAACGATCGGAAATAACCCAACTTTCGTGTTTTTGAAGATAGAAATCTTAAACTTCGTACAAATACTACTTTTGGTCAGATAATCAGACCTACCAAATTTCATAAGGATCGGCCGACTATATCCTATAGCTGCCATACAACTGACCGATCGGAATTGACCCAACTTTTGTGTTTTTGAATATAGAAAGCTGGAACTTGGTACAGATTATATTTTTGGTCAGTTAATCCGACCTACCAAATTTTATAACGACCGGCTTATCTTATAGCTGCCATATAATTGAACGATCGGAAATGGTTTTTGGTAGAAATACCAACTCTGGTATTTTGGAAATAGAAATTTGGGGTTTTTTTTAGATTCTATATAATAATAACTTGAGTTATATTATCATATTCTCATAAGGATCGGCCAACTATATACGATGTTTGCGATATATATCCGGTTTTACCTGCAAGGGTATATTAACTTCGGCTCCGCCCGAAGTTAGCTTTCCTTTCTTGTTTATATGATAAAATATACAAATGTAGCTGCTATAGAAAATATTGAGAAAATGTGTTATTTTTTGAGATAATGGCACGAGATATAAAAAAATATTTTTGCGTGGTGTGTTTTAAGATAAATTTTGGCCTGCTCAACAAACCACGAAGAAATTCGAAAGAAAACCTGAATTCGGGCGGAACCGTTGTAGATGTAAATTGCAGTTAAATGGCCATAAATAGTGTATGATATAAACGGTTTATGTATCCAGTCACAAATATCATATAAAGTAACAGACATGTGGGAGTCAGGAAAATTATTATGTTTGATAAAACAAGAAAAAAAATTGCCAAAAATAGATCTCGATAGCTTTAAAACTGAGACCCTAGTTTGCGTAGAAACAGACAGGAGGTGATCCTGATCAAGAATATATATACTTTATAGCAGTGGTCGGCACGGCCCTATCCCGAGGGCATGGTAAATTTCTCTGCCCGAGCTCTGCCACACACACACAGTATAAATGTGTGAAACGTCATGCTAACAGACTATAAAAATCTATACCTCCTGTAAAAATTGTCCGATTGAGCTGAATTTTAATTTGAGGGTAGGGATAGGCATTGGAATAGTTTGGCATCAAAACGTGTTCACAAAAACTTTTGTGGAATTGCTCTAAATCGGACCAATCCTATAGCTTTATCTCTTATAGTCTGTGGATCTATGCGTAAATAGTGCTAGGGCTGTTAGTGCTGATCAAAAATGTAAATACTTTATGGGGTCAGATGAGACTTTCTATATGTTAAAACACATTTACAATATACCGCTGTAAAGTGTACACTGTAAAGTGTAAAGTGTAAAGTGTAAGTAGCACTATTATGTTGATAACCTTTGCTCTTCGATTATCACTCCTTGTCAGCATGGCTTTATTAAGCGTCGCTCCACCACCACAAACTTATTGGAGTTGACATCCTTTGTCATAGATGGCTTTTGTAAGGGATATCAAACCGATGTAATTTACACAGACTTCAGCAAAGCATTTGATTCAGTTAATCACTCACTCTTGTTGAGTAAACTGAATATGCTGGGTTTTCCTAAAGACCTCTTAACGTGGATCTCCAGCTACCTAGATGGAAGGACACAAAGAGTTTTATATAAAAATATTCAGTCCCGTCTGGTCCGTGCTACATCCGGCGTCCCTCAAGGATGACGTCCCTCAAGGCCAAGATGACTGGCCCGTTATTATTTACGCTTTTTATAAACGACTTGCCCCCTGCTTTAACGAACTCTTTAGTTCTTGCAGATGATGTAAAGCTTTGTCTTCAGTACAAGTCCATCTCTGCCCAATGCAGTCTTCAGTCTGACCTTGATAACTTTCAAAAATGGTGTTTAGCTAATGATCTAATACTTAATGGATCTAAATGCAAACATATGTCTTTTTATCGTTCTTGCCCTCTGCAAGCTGCCTATTCTATTAATGGGATTGCCTTAGAAAAATTAACCCAGGTTAATGATCTCGGCATCCTATTAGACATCAAACTTAAATTTGCCGACCATATTTCCTTAATAGTTAATAAGGCTAAAGGAGTCCTTGGTTTTATCAAAATGTGGTCAAAAGAATTTAATGACCCCTATATAACCAAAACACTATTCATTTCTTTGGTTCGTCCTATACTGGAGTACGGTTCATGTGTCTGGAGTCCCCAATATGGAGTACATCAGGACCGCATAGAATCCGTACAAAATAATTTCCTAACTTTTTCACTTAGAGGTCTAAACTGGGATGCAAATCTTTTTATTTTAGGGTATTATGTTCGAACTACAATGGTCTCTACTCTATTACATCTCTTTCCTGTACCTCTAACTTAAAATATAGAATTTTAAATTTCCTTACTAACTCCTCTTAGCTTAATAATTAACAAATAACTTAATATATTCTAACAAATCGTTTCTTGAGCGCCCCTCGGTCGTCTGGGCCTCTAAGCTTTATGATGAATACAGGAATGCTAGCTGATGCTCTTATTGATGCACAAGCCATTTCCAAATTCTGAAAGACCGGTAAAAAATAAAAAATATTGACCAGGAGAGCTTTGATTTTGCGAGCGAAATAAGTAAGTGAAGTAAAGCTCATTACATCGAATTCAATTATTTTAATTGCAGTAATTGCTAACAATTAGAAGCTACCAAATTAAGTGAGTTTCGTCAAATAAGTCTTTTTTTAGTTTTAATTAATATTTTTTGTTCAGATATGTCAACTTTTGCATATTTGAGCGATGTGGAGCGGGCGTATTGGGACACTTCATTTTTTTAAATAAAATTGTAAATGATTTTTATTTTTTTTTGTTTTTATTTTATTTGTAAATATAGAGAAGAAATGCATTGAAAACAGATAAAACTTTTTTATTTTCTGATCCTTTCCACGAAAATTGATATTGTTATGTTAGCTATGGATGGACGAGCAATGGACGACAATGGAGCAATGGACGACAGTTTGAAAATTTGGCGCAGCTCAAGAAGGATTTGGTTGAAGAATAGGCCAAAATCGAAGAAAAACATTGCAGGATTTGGCTAATTTAATGTCTAAACGCTTGGCTGAAGTAATTTCAAAGCACGGAGGCAATACCCACTGTTAGGTAAGAAAATAAATTTTTTTTCTACAATTATAAATTTTTTAAAAATTATTTTCTTTACAGTGTCCCAATAATTATTTCTAAGGGAGCTAACGTAACAATATCAATTTATCGTGGAAAGGATCAGTAAAATAAAAAAGTTTTATCTGTTTTCAATGCATTTCTTCTCTATATTTACAAATAAAATAAAAACAAAAAAAATTAAAAATCATTTACAATTTTATTTTAAAAAAATAAAGTGTCCCAATATTTATTTCGACCAGGTATTTTTGCCGTTTGATTTTAACTTATTTAATTGAGATCATAAAGGAAGCTGTTTTTGTTCATAAATAACAACATATTAACTATATTTGGTTTGAGAGAACTCCTGCGCTCACTAATGACTTGGTCAGCTTGCTGAAGATCCTCTCGGACGCCGTGGAAGATGCTGGAACGCAAAAGTGTTGTTTTGCAATGCTTTTAAAAGCTTCCATGAAATATGGGCACATATATAAAAAATATCCATTAGATTTAAAAGGATATATTGTACAATTTCAAACCTTGTAGAACTCTAGGGGCATGACTTTCTCCGTGGAATTTGGAGCCTCAAAATATTGCCTTAGAGCTATAATAGCGTCTGTCCTGGCTGACTTAGATTCAACTGCGACTTTTTGCTGTAGGAACGTAAATTTCTTCTTTTCCGGTTCTGGATTTGGTGGTGTTGGCGGATTGTGCTGTGTTTTGGACAATGTGTTGTACAATTCATTCTCTAAAGCGTTAGCAACTTAGTCTGCATTTGACTGAGAGAGAAAACCATCTTTTTTTACCTTGAACCCAGAATAGTTGCCACTCTTGGTACTGTTTTAACTTCATAATGGGCGAAACGCTCTGGCATACGAGCCGTTAGATAATCGAAAATTGATTTTCCCTCTGTAGTCTTAATTTTTGGCTTGATATTAACCATCTTTTTGTTTAATTCACATATGAAAGGAATTAATATCGATATTGAACCCTTAATTTCTTGTGAAATAGACCGAGTAGCGTGCTCAAAAGGCTCCAAGATGTTAGCAAAGTCTTCCAAAAAATACAAAATAAAGCTGAGAACGGCTTTGGGGCTTTTGGTGCGATCAGAAGCAATGTTGAAATATGCTCGTTTGTGGCTAATATGCGCTGCACAATGTAGAGAGTAGGGTGACCATATAGCTGAAGTGGAAAATACGGGCACCACCGTTTTCTCGTTTCTCCCAGCAGTGTTCTTTTTCAAATATGTATGAAACTGTTGACAGGAATATTTTGAAATTGAATTGAACCAAGATTATACTTTTCAAGTTTTCGAAAACAAAATTGTTCCGTTCGTCGCTCCATTGAATATTAACAAGTGAAAAAACGCAATCGCAATTTGCGTTGTGACAGGGAATCGCAAAGAAATATTGAGCAATTTTGAGTATTTCAGAACATGATTCAAGACAACTGTTAGCAGAAAGAAAATCACAGACTTTTTCATTGCTACTTTTTTTGAAAAAATCATCTCTTGCTTCTTTTTCTTGCTTTTCTTTTTCATTCAAAAATTTTTTTAAATTTACAAACTGGTCGAAAAATTTTGAATCATCAATTTGAATATTTTTGGATGCGAGAAATGCAACAGATTCATACCTCAAATCTTTTCCTGGCTTGAAATTTAACCACTAGAAATCTTCCAAATGACTCAATGACTGGCTCCATTTCAGCAAATAATCACAAGATCTTTCATACACTACAAGCATGGATTCTGTAAAGTTTTGACACTCAGTTTCTTTACCTTCATTTGTTAGCTTTTGCATTTTCTGCTTGACTGCGAATGGTATAAATTTCGAATTGAGTCTTTCAGTCAAAGTCTTCGATACTTCGTCAATGATTTGCAAAACTTCTAGAACAGAATTGTCTTCGCGTTCGATGCTTTTGATTCTATTGTGAAAGACATTCATAAGTGAACTTATAAACAGCAATTGCAATTCCGCAAAATCATCTTTGAAAAAACTCTCTAAAATAATTGGCGGATGGTCAGTGGATAAAAAAAATGATTTCAGAGCTGGAAAAATTTGTAAAATTCGATCAACGCTTGGCTTGAGGGTTAGCCATCGTGTTTTGCTGTGAGATAGCACTTTCCTGTACTCCACATCAACGAAATCGCAAAAATCCTTCAATTGATTTGTCCGAACAGTGTAAATCGAGAAGTGATTGAAAATTTTCATTACAATACATTCAATGTTGAAAGAACCGAACCGATCTATACCATGGTGAGCTGAATTGTTCATGACATGGCCTGAACACCCTATGCCAATGATATTTTGGTTTCACGCCTTAAATATGTCAATACGTTTTCTCCTTCTTTGCCATTCAGCCCACCAATGTTTGTATTGATATTATCGCCTCCGTATGCGACCAGTTTCTCAATAAAAATATGTTTATCCAAATCACATTTTATCATGTTAGCAATAGTTTGAGCTTTTTCATCAAACTTTTCTTTGACATTTAACAATTTGACAACTATCCCTCCTTCAGCAGGATCAAAATATTGGACTATCAATGGGAACATTTTCATATTACCATGATTACTCGAATCAGTGCCTATACTAAAGAAAGGTGTCTTTTTCAAATCTTGCACTACCATTTCATTAGAATGAACAGATAGAACCTGATTTACAATAGCTTCGGTTTTTGTACGTCCGCAAGAAACATTTTTTCCTGCATGAGAATCGCCAAAGAGTGAGCGAATTAGTTGACTTGCAGTTGATGAGTTGATCTGTAGCTTTGATGATATTTTATGGTGTGGAATGCCAAAGTTCCTTCAGCCGCCCAAACTGCATGTGATAAGTGAAGTCCAAAATGGAACGCGAAGTAGATGCATCTTGCACTTTTTTTGAATGTTTTGGTGTAGCGAGGTGCTTTTCCAGATCACGTGTTCCTACAATTTCACAAGAGCAATCAGGCGATATTTCATGATTTAATTTTACAAGGATGAATAGCATAAGGTAACCTAGGTAGCACTTTTCTTGTTAGTTCTGAGCAATTAAATGGGAATTTTTGGCTTGCAATCTTCGCACTTTGTTACAAACTTTTTTTTACATAGAAAATATTTTGAAAAATTAAAAAAAAATCATTTTTGTTGTCAGTGACAATACATGTTATTTTTTGAATTTTATAAGAAATTAGTAATTTATGCATACATATATATTCCATTTTATAGGTTCATTAAAAATATTCTGATTGTATAAGTGCAACGCAATCTTTATTTTGAAAAAATTTTATAATTTCTGCCAAATTTTCAATGCAAACAATTTGCAGGAATGTGTGCTACCAGGCTCAGGGAATGTAAAACTTCGACAGCCAAAAAGCAAAAAAAAAACAAAAAAAAACATTATGCCGTTTTAATTGTCACAAGCTTGTTGGCTCTCTCGGGTGTCAGGTTAGATTTTGCTTTACCGAATTTCGCGTTGAAAACATTCACACCATTCGATTACTTGAAACCTGATCTTCCAGGATCTGCAACAACAAAGAGAGCTTTACAATAAAGCTCTCAACTAATCTAATCGTAATTAGCGTTTATAAAACATTCAGAATACTTACGAGTTGGTTGTTTTGTTACAGATTGACTGATTGAGAATAAAAAAGTCAGCTGTTACAGAAATACAAAAAACAACGCTATAAGCAATGTATGTACGCGACAGTATGCATACATAGCCAACCGAATAACCAGACGCAATCGTCCCATATTTCTAGGGAATTTTACCGTATAACGCGTGCTAAACTGATTGCGCGTCCTCTACGTCAACTGCGAGCGCGGGCGCTTTCGAATGTTTAAGTCTAGAAACTCATTTCGGAAAAATTGCAGGTGCAATCTGTTTTTTCGTCAAAAACGCGAAAAATACGGACATTTTACAAAAAAATACGGACTAACGGACACAGAGCTGAATATACGGACATGTCCGTATTAATACGGACGCCTGGTCACCCTAGTAGAGAGCAGAGTTCCAGCGGGTGGGAACCTCTTAGATCAAGCTATATGATTTTTTAGAAAAACCTTGGGTCTGCTTTAGAGTTGTTGGTTTTTGAAAAAATATCGTATTGATGATATTTGCTGTGAAAAAAATATCAATCGATAATATTCAGAAATATCACAAAAAAAAATCGATATATCGAGTATTTTCGATATTTTTTATAGTCAGCTAAATTTGAAAAAAGGTTATTTTTAAATTTAAAAAAAGGTTTTAATATGTGTTTTCATCCGCCATGAACTGCAAATAAGACATATTTTTTTATTTAAAAAGTGAATTGAAAAAACAACAAATATTTATACCCACTCTCAAGCAACTTTTATTTAAGTTCTTTGAAATAAAAAATAACAAAATTATTAAGGACATTGTATTCAAATTTTTTATAAAAAAACTTAATACAAAAAAAAGTTTCATGGAATTCATGGAATATGTACTTAATAATGCTAATTACTTAATTCTCTTATTTAATGCTCTTAATTACTCTTAATTACAAAATAAATCTTTCTTCAATGATTTAAAAAAAACTCTTTCGGTTATATGCTGGTCTGTCATTCGACTACGGGAGTCACAGACAATACATTTAATGGCAGAAGCCAACCGTTCAGATGGAACCGAACTTCCAGGCGTGATAAGAAAACTTAAAGCAACCTTCGCTAGCATCGGCATCGTTGAAATTTGTGAGTTCCAGAATTCCAACGGATTTGTCTCCCAACTACAAAATGGCATACTCAAGTAAACCTGCACTTCCTTTCTTTCGCAACTAATATCGGAGAACACCAACTCAAAAATATTATTATCGACTATTTTTGTCCAAAAAATATCACGATAATAATATTTTTTTAAGAGAAAATATATCGATATATCGATATTTTGATATATTTCCGACATCCCTAGTCTGCTTAAACTTCTCATAAGCAATCGTGCTGCTTTTAAGGGGGGACATCTGAGTAGAGTTTTGAAAAAATCGAAAATTTTTTTTTTCGCTTAAAAAATTTTTTTGGGTCTTAAAAATAACATATCAAAAGATAGAGTCCGGCCGAAGTGTCTAAGTGTCGAAATTTTCCATTCTGCGGCGATGCCTCACAGGTATATCCCACAGTA